GGGGGGGAGGGGAGGGGCTTCCAGGCATCCCACGAGGAGGCCTCTGATGGCGGCGCCAGGGCTAGAAATGCACATGTACGTCGGAGCATGGCTGGCGGGCCTGGGTCTCTGCTGCAGTTTCCCCAGGATGGCAGTGCCCTGGCTGTGTCCCAATCCCGGTGTGTGGCGGGGCTTTCTTGTGCCGCCCGCCGGGTGAAGCCTTCGTGATTGACTGCGGCTGGGCTGATAGGTCACGCATAGGATTTCTGGCCCGGAGCCAGGCCCTTCACGCTCCAGAACTGTTTCCTGGGAGGGCTTTCTATACTGGAGCCCGTCAAGACCCAGGTTATTCGGGAGAGGCCACCTGCGTTGGCTGGCAGTGCAGGTGTGGGCCACAGCGCCTCAGCCAGCTGGACCCTGACACTCTAGATGGCCTCCAAGAAGGGGGGCTCCCCCACTGCGGCGGGAAAGGAGGCAGAACTCAATGGCCAAGAAAGTCCCCCTTACTCTGGGGATTTCATTGATTTAAACTGTGTGCCCAGAGCCCAGGAGAAGTTTATTTCCAGGAATTTAGGTTGTGGTATTATAAGTTGTTGCTCTGTGGGACAGTAAGACTGACTGTATAGCCATCATCACAAATCAGGCCAGTTTGGGCCTAAGAAGAGGCAGGTGGACCCATGCAGACAAGAGATGGAGAATTCAAATGCCCATGGGTCAGTAGGCCGCGTGGATCAGCGGGGAGGGAAGGGCATTCAAGAGAGGGTGATGGCAAGGCTGGGTGTCTGTGGGGAGAAAACCAGGCTGAACTCCTCCCTGAACAGGACATGTAGTCGTCCCTCCCAGGACGTCCCTCCCTCCTCCTCCCAGGAGGGCGGACAGTGAACGTTCCAAGTTGGAGGATTGGTGGCTATCTCTGTGACTTTGGGGTACAGATGATTCCCCAAACAAGCTCAATAAACGTGAGCCATTAGAAAGAAGCCAGTACATTTGCTCATGTCACACCACGGGCAAAGCCAGTAGTCCCAGCACGGAACAAGAAAGGTGTCTGTCACACCAAGAAAGGTACAGAAGGAACAGGAA